GTGAGTGAGAGTGAGCGAGAGTGGGTGTGTGTGTGTGTGTGTGTGTGTGAGCGTGTGTGAGTGAGTGAGTGAGAGTGTGTGTGTGTGTGTGTGTGTGTTTGTGTGTGTGAGAGTGCATCTGCCCAAAGAAACAGCCCCAAAAATCATCACTCTGTCATCGTTTACTCGTGTCATTCAAACCATGTCTGTCTTCAGTGGACATAAAAGATGATATTTTGAGGAACATCTGTGATTTTTGTTCAAACAGTGAAAGTCAATGGGCTCCAGTGCTGTTTGGTTCTCAATGTTCTTCAAAGCAATTTTTGTTTCACAAAAGAAAGTCAGTCATACAGGTTTGAAGGACATGAAGGAGAGTAAATGACAGAATGATGATTTATGGATGAACTGTCTCTTTGAAAACACACACACACACATACACTCACTCACACACACACACACACACACACACACACACTCACACACACACACACTCTCACTCACTCACACACACACACACATACTCTCTCACTCACTCACAGAGTTAATAATGAATGGAGTCTTACTGTAATCATGAGCTGAAGATGCGGCCGCTCAGCGTGGCTCCTGCTGTAAATCCTTCATGAAGCTGCGCGTCACACACTCGAGTGTGAACAGATCCTTTATGAAAACCAGCTCAAAGAATCAGTGGTGTGACTGGCGGAGCTGCTGGATCATAACACACAGACACACACACACACACACACACACAGACAGAAACACACACACACAGAAAGTCTTTCAGAGGTGCAGTGTTTTCAGTATGTCATTCACAAACAATGTCACAAAATTATTCGATTTCAAATATTTATCATTTGCAGAGGTGGACAAAGAGCACAACTCCATTACTTGAGTGAAAGTACAGACACTCAAAAATGTCCTTCGTTACTGTCCACCTTTGATCATTTAAATTATATAAAACATATAAGCTGATGTACTTCCAAGGTATAAATATGTAGTTTTTCATAAACCAAACCATAACCAGTTTTTATTTACCAAAAGAGGAATAATTTATTTACTTAATTTTAGTGAGATGCTACAAAGTAAATTAAACTAAAACTGAACTAATGAAATGATCTGCAGCACACATTAATGTTTATTAATATTATAAAAATAAAAAAAACTATAAATACATTAATACATAATAAATACTTCCAATATCAGCAGATTTGAATGTTTTGGTGCTGGTTTTGCAAAAATGCTGAAGTACTTTTGTGAAATCGGGCCGTGTCTCATCAGCGCTGATCAAACTCCAGAAACAGCACTGGGACGAGCGTCACATGACCACACGTCACACATCACGATCACACGTCACATGATCACACATCACGATCACACATCACATGATCACACATCACGATCACACGTCACATGA